AGGCTCGAAATGCAGGAATTTTAAATTGATTCTGAGAACCGCCCAATTCTCTCTTCGAAAGACTGAACCGTGAGGATGAGCTTCACTGTCGGGCCCACCTGCTACCCCAATCTTAATCTTATTTAATATAAAGTAATAATAATCCAGTCCACGGCGCTCTTTTAGACCCATCCGCCAAAACACAAACCCGACCCGGAACCCGTTAACCCGACAACGATGTGCAGCGTCGAGAAGCGCGCCACTTCTTCATCCTAACCTAACAGGCGGCGCGCGAGCAGCCGCCTTCTCGCCGGCCGCGGACTGCCTCGATACGCTCCGCCCTCGCCGAATCCGATCGAATCCCTCGCCCTCCTCGCGCCCCAATCCGCCCTCGTCAGTGCCGCCGCCGGCCGGACAGGTTCTTCTCAACGCTTCGCAACCTCGCCCTTCGCCACTCCGCCCACCTCCTCCCGCACGTGCGACCGCCGCACCTCCATGCGTCTCCCGCCTTTCGTCCCATACGTCGCCGCACCTGCATGTCCCTCCCGATGGCCACGGTGGCAGCCGTAACCGCCACGCCGCCGCGCCGGCGTCCCGCCTCGCCTCTTGCCCACGATTAACGTCGTCATGCGTGGGCGATCGCGCGCGTCCTCCTAAGCTTGCCTTGAGCTCGACTAGGCCGTACCTTTTCCGCCATATTTTTTATCGATCATAGAGGGGAGAAGTTCGAGACCCTAGGGTTGTCGAAGGTTTGGTGATGAGTTCGAAGACCAGATCAGCTGCGCTGAGGCGGCGGAGGAGGGGGGTGGGCATCCTGGCTGAAGCGGCTCGACGGGGGGAGAGTGGTTGGAGGCTGCGGTGGCGATGGCGGAGGGTTCTTGAGAGGAACGTGAAGGGAAGAGACGTACGCTTCGGTGAGAATGGGGTCATTTCCGGGGATCTGCAAGGCGGTCGGATTGAAGGAGGAGAACGACGAGGATAGGCACCGGATGACTGCATCAAGGCTCTGAAGATCATGGTAACAAAACCACTATAATGAATAAAGATTTCAAATTGAAATTATGAAATGCTGTGATTCAAGTATATGGTACATGAATTGTGAATTTGTATGATATATATGAAAAATAATTTGAATGCTGGTATACTATGTTTTTTATTTTTATTTTTTATGAGTAGGTTTCAGATTTGGTAATTATTAGGCATGGCAGATATATTTTTTTAATTAATATTATAAGAGGCGATGAAGGGTGAAAATCTTGCAATTCCTCTAGCGGAGTAATATATTTTAATTCCGTATTGTGTAAATTAGTTATGTTTAGGAAAATTTTGTTCTATGTTTGTTGAAGTGTTAGCATTATGGTGAAACAAGAGTAAAAATGGGTAGAGATTTGATTTTGATCATCAATTAAGTGCCAGCTATTGATTCAAATTGTATAATAAATATGATTTGAGTTCAAAATGAATTCATGAGATACAAGGAAAACTGGCTAATGATAATTGGGATCTGATAGAGTAACTCGTTACTCTAGAGTTCCCATGTTTAAGGGATGCGTACTTATTGAAATGATATGAACGTGAAATTTTTATGAGGACTCTATCAGAGTACTATATGCATATTTTGTTGTTTGGTAACATATAATAATATATATTATATATGCTTAATATAAGACATTATCTTGTTGTGGATTGGTTGAAGTGTATGGCCAACATGTTTGTAATGAAGTTACGAGAATGGTCACTCAGATTGCAATTATAAAATTAAGGTGAGAAGTGAATGAGCTAGGACAGTGAATTGAATTAATAAGACACGGCCATGGAAGTCTATAAAGTATGGCTTCTTCTTGTTTTTTTTTTAAATCACTTGAAATTTACTCAAGATGAAGTTCCTATCCAAAAAATGATAAAGTGGATATGTTTTTAGTAACTCCTAATCAACAGAATTCTAACTTTCAGTAAATAGACATCACATAGTCATCTACGCTTATTTGTATAAAAAGTACTTAGCTAATTGGAAATTTTCGAGATGCTTCATACTAGTTGAAGTATGCAATTTGACATGTTTCCATGTCACCACGATTGGTATCACACAAGTCTGGTGAGGAATAAAGAACATCAACTTGTTCATAAAAGAGAGTGAACAAGACTACTTGGGGGTTGTATATACTATATAGTATGAGAGTTTTGATACTGATGGAGAAGTTGTTTTGCCTGAACATATATTTGGAGTGTTTCTCTACTTTTTGTCAAATTAGTAAAATTGATAGTATCAGAAGTGGGTCTTTTGAATATGTAACAGTAAGATATAGGAGGAACGGTTTGCAGAGATAGGATATAGGGTGAAGTTTTGCTTACTTCAATTCGGCTGTCTCTCACACATTGTATGATAAATGTCTATTGAACAATAAAAAAGAGATTATAGATTCTTGTGTAGATTTTAAGGAGTATTAGCCAATACCGTTTATGTTTTTAGTTAATAAAACATACCTCTGGGTTAAGTTTCTATTTAGCAGAATGATGATTTAGATATTGTTATAGTAAATCTTGCTCAATGGAGTTTCAATTTGTAGTGAAATATAACAGAATGGTATCAGATAAACTATGCACTTAGTTTGGTGTTTGGTAAACTATAGAAAATATCCAGCAAATTGAAATTTTCATTTTTCTTAATATCAGCTGAAGTGTACAGATTCACATTTATCTTTATTTGAAGTTCCCTAATCTAGTCACTGGAATGGTATCATGCAGGGTCAACTAGAAATGAATTGCACAATTTTCGTCAAAAAGAGAAATGAACAAGAGTAGCTCGGAATTTGTGGTTAGCAACTATTACTATTGGTGAAGAAGTTGTTTAGCCTAAAACATATTTGGCATGTTTCTCTACTATTCTGGGCTTGTCATGTTAGCAATTAGTGGGATTAAATATGGATATTTTGAAGTGTTACAAAATGTGTTGGATGAATAGTTTGCAGAGGAGCGATGAGGCGAACTTTCGCTTACTTCAGACTCTGAGTATTTCAAATATTGTATAGAAAATATCTATTGAACAAGGGAGAATGAGTATCCTGAAGTAGGAGCTAGCTTATGCTTTTCTTGCTTACAGTTCATTGTCCCAAAGATTGTACTAGACTTTAGAACCTTCTCCTTATTCAATAGATTTTTTTTTCTATACAATATGTTAGATGAATGGTTTGCAGAGGAGCGATGAGGCGAACTTTCGCTTACTTCAAACTTGGAGTATTTCAAATATTGTATAGAAAATATCTATTGAACAAGGAAGCATCAGTATCCTAAAGTAGGAGCTAGCTTATGCTTTTCTTGCTTACAGTCCATTGTACGAAAAGTTGTACTAGACTTCAGATCCTTCTCCCAATACTTTTCTCTAGTCTCTCTTTTATTGTCCTTGTGGGCTAGTGGAGGTTTTGTGTTAAACCTTGCTTCTTAATATCTCCAATTAGCTACTTTAATGCAATAGTTAGAGCAAATGAAATATAAATGAAAATGAAATTATTCGTCACAAAATATGGTGTATACTAAGGCCATCATTTTTAATCAATAAGCAAAAGCAGTGTGCCTTAAATCATTAGAGTTCAATTGTCTGTCTTTATTCAACAGTGAGTTCTATTCAGAAGTTATCTCCTACAGGAAGTGAATAGTTCACCTTCTTCTGTGTGTCTAGATCTCTTAGGGGATACACCATCATATTGTGCCATTACACCTTCAACAATTAAAAGTCAAAAATGAATTTTTGTATCTTAACCGTTGACCAAAGACTTAGTGTCGTTTGGCAAGAGGATGGTTAAGGAGAATGATTAAGTTAGGCAATCCTTGATAAAGGGTTAAAAATAATTTAATTCCATTTGGATTTGATAATAAATATGAAGGTTTAAGGTTTTTGTGTTTGGTAAATAAAGAAGGGTTAAGGAGGTTAGTTGCCATAAATATTCGAAATTAGTTACTATAATATTCTTTCTCATAATTTCATCACTTACCTACGGAGGTAATAAATATTGACCCGTCTTCTTAGGAGGATTTGTTAACCCTTCTAAATGAGGGGTTAACTGGATTTAACCCTTGTGAAAGGTTTGTTAGCCTTTTGATCAACTTAACGCGTTATAGCCCCCCCCCCCCCCCCCCCCTTCTTCTCTTAACCCCTTGCTAAACAGGGCATTTATGCTTTCCGATTTGGAGAATATAGTTAATTTTTCTTTCCATTTAGTGGAATTCTTTTTTGGATCGAGTTTTGAGCTCTAGCTCAGTGTCAACTTGAAACTTAAATAATAATTTTCCTTCTCTTCGAAGTGCACTACACAATTTCTCAATTTCTTAGTTTGTTGTTCTTTCCGCATTTGTCTCCATCTAGGAGTACAATAATGATCTCTTTATGCTAGCACCGAATTTATCATATTCTACGTTCTCTACAGTCTACATCAATAATCATTATGGGCAGTTGTTTTGTGCCATGTTGAAACATGTAATGTCAATAGTGGCCTCTCCTTGCCCCTGGTAAATTATCAAGGTGGTCATTTTTTCTTGAGAGTGGCAATCCTGACTCAGGAACCGGTAATCCTTGACAAGAATTGTGCTCGATTTGTGGGTGACATGCATGATCATCAATTTAACATGGTTACTATGAAATTTAACCCGCACTATCATAATATGCAATACTTCTGGGAAAGATATTGTAGTTTAGGCTGATAAGCAAAGTTGTTGCGTGGGGATGACAACAGGAGGAGCAGGGGAAAATAATTGAAGAGGGAGTTTGATATATTCTCTCCGTTAAGTTATATCATATTTTATCAGGTCTGTAAAGTACGAAAAATGACCAAATGTTTGCTAAACAAGACAGTCAACTTTTATTTGGCTTTTTAGAGTGCTGTAAATTCTTTATACTTAAACCTCTACAACCGTCTCTCTCTTTATCCTTCATTGGCACACAGGTTTGCTTTCAGGGCCCAACTGTCATTCAAAGCATCTCATCATAAGGCCATGAATCTTGTCCTCTCTTGCGTCATCCTACCTATAGAAACCGTTGCATTAATGGAAAGTTCAAGGTAGTGGCATGATGTTTGTCGCAGCTTCATTACTTTCCAAACATGCTCCATAGACATCTCGAACCATCCCTTCTCACCATTTCATATTGTAGATATTATTCCTTGGACGCTCCGCCCAAATTTCTAATTCTCTATAAAGGTAGTGAACCTCCTGCCCTTGTAATTTAACCAGATCAAGTCCAGTATCCATAATGTGTACCATCGAAAAGAGGGGCCAAGTTTTCATCCTTACCTTAACCGGTGAGGGTGAACACCGCCTTTCAGTTGACCTTATCGCCTGTATTCGTTGTGCTTTTGCTCGAGTTCGTACTGAATCCCTTTCTTCTCCCTTCTCTGCCCTTGTTACCAGAGCTGAGGGTCATTACTTCTGTAATGGATTTAATCTAAACTTTGCCAATTCCGTCAAATCATCTATGGTCCAGTGGAAACGCTCCAGATCTCTCACACATGGCCTTATCTCAATCACAGCAGACTTAATGTCCCTCCAGGTGCCAACCATCTGTGTCGTTACAGGTGAGGCCTCTGCTGCTGGGTTCATGTTAGCTCTTTCTCATGATTATGTGGCAATGCATGCGGACAATGGGTTTCTTTGCATGAGTGATCTTAATAATCTGGTAACTAATCGATACTTCTTGAGCATGATGAAGGCCAAGGTTAAAGATGAGGAAATGTTTAAGGATTTGGTGTTCCGATCACTGAAGATTCCAGCAATAGAGGCAATGGATAAGGGGGTAATTGATTTCGTCGAGAAAACAGCAACGGAGACAGTGGAGGCGGCGTTAAAATTGGGGCAACTTCTGGCAAAGAAAAACTGGAATGGGAAAGTTCATGCTTCCCTTAGGAAGAGGGCATTTCCAGAAATAGGTAGGGCAATTGGGTTACCAGATGAGGGCAATGAAGTGTGATAGAGTTCATTTCTGCTAAACCGCTGGCCCATTTGCTTGGGCTCCTAATGATAAAGGTCGGTAGGAAATAAATAAAAGTTAGTTTTGTTGCTTGTTGCTTATTACTTGTTTCCTTTAATGTAGAAGGCTTGCTGAAATTATGCAAAGTTTTAAAACTATTTCGTAACTGTTTCATAAACTTGAAGGCATTGTCTTCAAGAGGTGAGAAATTAGATGGAATAATTGAGAATTCTGATTGATAAGAGTTTAAAAGTATCAATATTAATGTGATAGTTCAGCAATGACAGAAAATAGAATGTTCTCTAAAATCATGGGAGCTTATATGAAGTTACCTTTAATTTAATGCACAGATGACTGAAATTATGCATTTGAGATGCGTTCATCACTTCTTCCTTTTTCTTTTTTTATAAAATAATGCCAAAAGCTTGACAGAAAACTGTTTTGTTTCATGTTTCTTCTTTTGGTTTTCTTACAATATGCCAAAGATGTCATGTAGCATTTTGGTTCACGATGTTATTGCTGTGAATCTCCTAGTTGCTCGAAGAAATTCGTAAGGCCAAAGATGTCATGTAGCATATGCTTCCATGATTTTATTGCTTTGAAGTTCCTAGTTGCTAGAAGAAGAGATAATAATGAGTGTTTTGGAGCAAAAATGAACTAAACTATGCATGGTTTGGCATGTTGCTAGAATACTTGCTTAAATTTGTATCATGTGGCATGTTTTGATATTGTATGCATTTTTGGGGTAAAATTGAAGTCATTGAGATTTGAGCATGAACAGATCAAAGGATTAGCAGACATTTCTGACAAGACAAGATGATAAGCCACCCAGTATAGTATGCTTCTGTTCGCCACCAATTTAAAGCGTATGGACAATGTTGAGCTTATATTTGGTAGGTTTAGAGTCTTGACTATTGAAGTGTGATTCCTGTTTAAGACATTTACCAAGTATTGGGATGGGAATATGAACTTTGAATTAACCACAGGGAGACAACATTATTATGAGTTAGACCTCTTGACTAGTTCACTAGTGAGATTTAGTTTTTGAGTAGTATTATGTTAGCTTTATTTTGTTATAATTAGGATATGAAATATGCATTTTTGTACTCTTATTATGATAAAGCCTGTCGAAGAAATCAGTGGGGCACTGCTAGGGGGCGGGGATCCGGGGAGGGGGCGATGGCTTCTGATTAATAATCAATTTACAGAAAAGGACTGCACATTGGAGTTGGTCTTTCATTATTAATTTACAAGTTTGAACAATGTTTAATGTAAGCCTTTTCTGATACAGAATAAAGATTTGTATTCTAATTGAATGCTATCTTGCACAACTTTCCTGCCACACATACTCACCTTCGATGCTTTAAAAGAGCAAATAGCAAACTCTTAAGAAGTATCAAGCAAAGCCGGAGTCAATATTGTTGACTCTAGTTCCAACACATATGCTCTAGGTTTACAAAGTTAGATTTGTCTGATCAGGTATTAATACTTTTATAGATGAAAGTGCTACCTTTGCCTGTTTACAGTTAAGTTTACCCATGCATCTCTACGAGGCCTTAGGCTTAGTGGCATCTGATTTACAGGGTAAGTGTTTCATTTTCAGAATTTCCATTTATTTGATATATCTCTACCTGCTAATTTATTTGATAACCTCCTTTACTTGCTCTGTGTTTGATCATATTATTGTATAACACCATTGCATAGTTTATGATACTGATAAATTTTGAACAGTTATATGCTAATGAATGTACTCTGGATATTGCTCCAGATCATGATGATTGCTTGTGACACTTCCTGATTGCCATCTGCTTTGTCAACTTGATTTATTCCTTGTCCTCCTATGTTACTTCCGTCTAGTATTCTATTGTGCATCTCAACATTTTAAAATGTTACCACTATTGAAGATGACCGCCTGTTGAATTTTTGTGATCTTATTTGGTGAGTCATATGAACATGGAACCAAGAATTGCATATGCAGATGCCAGACGGTAAGGTAGGATGATTTAGGTCTCTTGAAGGCTGGGTGGATAGATGTAATGGAGACTACAACAGTTCATGTTGAGTTTAAGGAAGAAGAAACATGTGTGGTCAGGATTTCTGCTATATGCGAATAATTAAGCTCCTTCTATTTGGATCAGTCCTGCAGTTTCTTGTTTCCAGAGATCAAAGTCAATTTGTTTATTTGTTCTGCAGTATCTTCGCTAGCTGTCTGTTGTTCGATCATCCAAGTAATAAGTATATTTGAGTTTATAGTTGGTGCTTTTGGAATCTCGGGGAGCATCAACCGTCATTCTTTTGAAGTAGGGGCTTCAACAACTATATCCTAGACTTCTTGTGTAGCCTACATAATTCGTTATCCTCCATTTTAGCCCCATTAGGGTCATTTCCTCTACTTTACAAACACTTTTTAATTACCTCCATCAATGTCTCTTTAAGCTTGCCTCTAATCTTCATTATTTATTGGTTACAATCTCGTTACTTCTGCTAACTAATGCACTCATTGGGCTTCATAATCCACCTAGATATTTCCCCACAATTTGTCCTTACTGAGAATAACATGTTACTTCTTAAGTATGCACTCATTTCTAACTTCTTTTACTTTTTGCTACATATCATATCAGTGTTCTCACTTACGCCATACTCATCTCTTGAACATTTTTCTTAATTATGCAACATTATGATCCATAAAGCATTGCTAGACTTATAACTATCGTGTGGAAATTTTACATTTGGTGTAACAGATTTGTTATTCTCTCTTAATATTGCATAAGCACTTATCAAGTTTAACCATTCTTCGTTGGTTCTTCGAACTGCATCCTTCTCGTTATCACATCATGATGAATGGTTGATTCTAAATAATGAAAATGGTCAGTTAGAGATATTCGACCATCATTCTACACCACATTCTCATCTTTAGTAGTTATGTTTTCATTCTATTAATTCAAAAGCATCTGTTCAACATTCTGCTTTGGACATTATTTTTTGTCTAGTCTTATCAACTATACTGCATAACATACACTATTGGACTTCATTTCGAATATGCCTGCTAATTTCATCTGCAACTAAAAGGGGTGAGGCCTGGGTGCTAACTTTGGTGTAGGCTTTGGTTATAATGAATGATGCTGTGTAGCATGGGCTAATTCAGATTTCCTCAGATACATGTCTTCAGCTCTGGAAATGGCACCTGCCTCCAAAATCTTCTCTTGATGTTCTCACACCCTCCCTCTCTATTTCTAATCTACAGGGAAGTAGTTGCATATTCAAGTTAGTAGTCAGCAATGTTGTGGTTTTTTACTCTATAAATTGTGAGGACCAGTATGTCCCCTTGAAAAAAGGAATGGAACAATTCATCTTTCTTGAATGATTATCTCTATGCAGCTTGTTATCTTTCCAGGAAATGAACAAAACCTTCCTTCTATATGTCACTTTTAAATGATCATTCAAGAAATGCACATCAGAGAATGCACCTGCTTGACAAACTAAATATCAGAAGTGAATTTTCTCTGGCTTGCATTTGTTCAATCTACCTGTCAGCTTTCCTGTCTGAAGAGTGCAGTCTAACTTCTTTGTTTTCAGTAGATGTTCCATTTTGAATTGAGTTACTAATGCCTTGATTCATCCCTCCAGGCTCCACCTGAAAATTCAACAAACTTTTTTACATTGTTTTCAAGTTGATTATACTATGAATTACCTAACTTGTCGATTGCCATCTCGCCATGTTTTCAATATCACTCTTTAAATGGAGCATTATGGAAGTAATATCAATTTTCTTATTTCTAGATTTACCATCCCTTACTGTTCATAATCACTGTGATCAAGGTTATAGAAAGCGCTAGGTGGCCAAGGTTCCAGACCAGGGCACCTAGAGCCTAGACACTTTGTAGGAGCCTAGGCAGGGCCTAGGCGGTTTTCCTTTATTTATTTATTTATTTTTACAATAATTGACAATACATGCCAATATTAAAGAAAGCACTAGGCAGTGCTAGGTGCCCACTTTTAAAACATTGTCTATGATAGAGAATCATGCTTTGTTCATATTGCATGAATATATGATATCCTTATCGTCGACTATGGTTGATGCAGAATTCTGATGATGGCAATTGTTATTGAATTCATGCAATTGAAACTTCCCTTGCTTGATTTGCATAGGGTGAAATGCAAGCTCAGCATGGTTCAGTTCTATGATTGAGTACCAAAAATTAACTGGTCTTCATATGGGAAAGATTCTGGTAGAGATATGGAAGTTTAGTAAGTTTAGTAAGATTGAGTGAAACCTGGAGAGGATTGGAAGAATGGACAAAAGGAAAAGGTTTGGATGTGTGAAAAATTTGATAAAGGGAGTATGATATCTGCACTATAAACATTTGTTCCCTGCGTATCTCCCGACCTATAATCCTTTTTGTTGATGGAAATGTGCAAAACATGATATTCTATCCATTTCAGGCTCCTTTCCAAACTAGCCACTCGAACATCCCCAGTAGTTCCATACAAATTTTACGCTTGGCACATTATTCACTTAGACGGTCTAGTGTATGCTTCCCTGAGGGTAGGGGTGTTCGAGGTTTATCAAAGGATATATGAGTGATAGAGCTTATGTGAAACTTCGGACTCTGTTCTTTGGGATTTTAAAGAAAAAGGTTAGTAAGAAAAATAAATTAAACTTAGTTTTTATGGCTTGGTCGTCGATTGTTGCCTTTAAGAGAACATCTGCTGAAAATTATATGAGTTGTCAAGTTTATGTACTATCCTAGGCCAATTTGGCAAAATTTAGGCATTGGATTTGGTGTTATTAATACATAATAGCAGAACATTCAAGAGAATACTCAGAACTAAATGGGATAGCATACGGCACTTTGTGGGTTGAAGAGGATGTTGTAGTTGGCATTTTCTTAAACAAAGTATGGACTCAAATTAGTTTAGAATGGTTAATATAAAAGCCACAAATTTAGTTGATGCGCTCAGGATTGGGCATGTTGAGGTTGTTTGCCACTTTGTCAAACTTATGTGGTGTGGTATGCTGTGTTAATTACCTATTTGAGTAAAAGATGGGCGGTTAAATTTGTTTTGCCTAAATTTATAATACATAGATGTAATACTTACAGTATAGGAATTCAAATTTTGGTTTAAGGTGTATTTGAATATACTTGGAACTTATTATTTCTTGTAAGTTGTAAAGGCTTTGCAACAAGCATTTATGTCCTGCTAATTGACTTGAGCGTGTTGGGTAAGCAGCTGCTAGTTATTTTGATCTTTAATTTTGGTTGACATCGAGTTGTTTCTGGCATAAAGTAAACTCATACATTTGCTTGCGTCATATTAGAATGATATGTTTTTCAGTAAACAAGAATGTCAATATACCCGGCCGCATTATGATGGGAAGCAAACTTGATACACGAATTTGTTTCCGTGATACACAGAATTTGTTTCCATGACACACAGAAGTCATATCGACTCAATCTCATTGACATTTGAATAATTAGAACATGGTTGATACTAAATGATGTAAATCATGTTTTCAGCAGAGCCACGAATCTTATGTACTAATAAACATCGTAATCATACTTATGTGCGCTTAGCATTTGATCGGGCAGAGTAGCTAGTTCATCCATAACTTGAGCACCCTATCCTTGCCTCCGGATGCTACTTTCTCACCATCAGGACTCCAATCCACAGCAAAAACCTCCAATAAAAGCATTTTAACTGAAATTAATCAAAATGCACAAAAGATTTGTCCATTAGTTCATCTTATTTTGAAAATAAATACCTCATCTGCATGGCCTGGAAGGTCTTGTTTCAGTTTTTTTGTTCGGATATCCCATACCTAAAACCAGCTTAAAATATCAGTATCGGGTGAACAGGAGATAATATCAAATAATAAAAATGTAAAACCATACAGTTCATGCATTTTAATAATAGAAATATATTATATCTAATAAAATGAGACAGAATGCAAGAAGAAAAAGTTCCAAGACTGTAAGTCTGTAACGCTACAGCAACAATATTGTAACATTTTTTCTCAAAACAGTATAAAAATGTTAAACATGCAACAGGGAAAAAAATTTCTATGCAAGTAATGAAGTAGGAAAAGAGCTTAAACATCAATAAGTTAAACCAACATGAATTCATTCATATTGTAACATAATGCGTATATGGAAGCCAAGTCCGTTATGGAAAAAGACACGAGTAACAAATTATGGTAATATGAACCCTCTTAACTATGGTGTCTACCTTTAATGTGGAATCCTTGCTTCCACTTAACAGAAGCCTGCTATCAGCAGACCAGCTGTGACAATAAAGCAGAAGCATGTCAGAGAAGTGATGAGCTAATAGAAGAGATGCGCACAAGAAATAGTCTGGACCTGATTTGATATACAGGACCAACATGCCCTCTGAAAGATGCAACAAAATTCCCCGTAATCCCATTCCACAACTTAACAGATTTATCAAATGAAGCACTCGCCACCCATTGCCCATCTGGGGAGAAGTACACATGGTTTACAAGCTGCAAATAAAGTATTGTATTTGTCAAAAATGTTGAATATAGATAGAGAAAAAGTGAAACCACTCTCTCTAGCTCCTTGTGGCAACGACAATATTTTACACAGGCAAAACAACATAAATAGAAAGAAGCAACTCTGCTTTATAATAACCTATAATCTATAAAGAGGCCTGATGAAGTAGAAAAAATTGAAAACAATGAAATTTTTCTATGCAGGACAGGAAAGTAATAATTAACTATCTTAATAAAAAGAGAGATAATAAATCTTTATATGAGATCCTTATTGACAAAAGAATTCTTCAGAACCAGGTAGCCATAAGATCGTAGCAGGGAGCATGGACAAGAAGTAAAATTTATCAGTCATATGTACCTGTTGGTGGCCAGTTAAATGAGCCTTCGGCTGCTTGCTAGTGAGAGGTTCCCACAAATACAAATGAAAATCATCAGACCCGGAGACCAGTCTTTCAGGAGCATTGCCTTTCATTTTGTTGTATTTTGCAAGAGCTGCCTGACATTTAACACAGTAATAATCATCACGAAAAAGAAGGAACAAAGAGATATTAGTTAGCAATAAAGAATAATTGCATTGCACAGTAGAGGTTCCTATAAAAGTAAATTAGTCTGAAAGTTAAAGTGCAAATCTCACGCAAAAGAATAATTACAATGCACAGTAGAAGTTCCTATAAAAGTAAATTAGTTTGAAAGCCTATAAAAGTAAATTAGTTTGAAAGTTGAGCGCAAATCTCAAGTAAACAGTATCCTGGCTTATCAGGCATGCAAAACATTCTGTAAGACTATCAAACATTAAGTGCGCAATTTTCGTAGATACTTAGCAAGCCAAACATGTGAAGGAGAAAGAAGCACAATGCAACTCGAAAAATCTAAGGATCTCAATTACTTCATCATAAGGCACGAGAAAAATCTACAATATATAATAGTATACTGAGGATTAAACAGATAAAAGAACGGTGGAATTTTTCCATTGGAGACATTAATAGAGACAAGAAAGAAATTGATGCCATGGTATTTCTCCAGCCACACTTGTTATTAGGCTAGGTAACAAGAAGAACAGGGATGATGGAATTTGTACAATGCAAAGTTAGCAGTTGAACCATTGACAATCCTGTGAATTCTGATAAAAAGAAACAGCGGTAAATGCATTAACTTGACCAGGATAACAGTGGCTGTGGTGGCAAATTATGTTCTAGTATCAACAGTGACACATAAGAGGAATCAAATTCTTCAATCAAACATAAGCATCTTTTTAACCTAAGAAAAAAATTCTTTAATATTCTTTCGCAAAAATTCTAGCCCTATAAAGCTTTTAGCAAAATTCTAGTAGGCTATTTTCCCTATATAAGTTTCTACGGTTGGTTAGTAATTCTAAACATATTATTTACATTTTTGTATAATTAGATTTCATTAAATACGATTAGATTACATTTTAGGACATTATATTATATATGCAAACCATTCGATATGACACTCCAATATTACTACATATCCTCGTTATTTCAGTAATATCCGCAATCCGATATGAATTTTGGTTGTCCGATATTTCTCTAATGTCTAATATTTAAAACCTTGGCTAGACTTAACTTTGACATCTAGAAAAATAGTATACATCACAAATTCTGTTGTTTAGAAATGAGCATGGAGACAATATAATTGCATGCATGTTCAGAAGTAAATGAATGCGATGAATGTCAAATATCATTAAGAGTTACCTCTTTCATTTCTTCAGGGGATGAATATGTCCGTCCAGTATGATCAAATGCGCCAGTACGAAGAGTATATTCAGTGCTCAAAGCAAGTGAATTTACCCAATGTGCATGATTCTGAAAAGAAAATCACCAACCTTAACAGAATAATTACAGACTTACTCAGATCACCTTATACGATTAGATCATCAATCCAGAATTCTTATATATAAATTATGTGGAGGAAGAAATTCTTAGTTTTTTTACACTTCTTAGAAGATACTTAGATGCACATGTATATTCTACAACACAAGAAAACACTACATGAATTATGTACATTAAGATAATCATGCTTCTTAGAATTATCTATGTACATATATACATGCTTCGTAAACAAAAATATATAAACTTGCTAAGATGTGAGAAACAAAGGTAAAACCTAGTGTAGACAGCAAACAAGAATTATTATGTTTACCGGAATGCTCAGAGTTTTAGCAACATGGTAATGCCACGTTTCAAGAAATGTGGAGATCAGATTCCTGGGACCCTACTGGCAGATGAGAATATTGTATTCTCCGAACCTGAGACAACCTTAAGAGGTAGTTTAAAGAGGAGAAAATGACGGAGAACCAGTTGAGATGTTCAATGTGTGTCTAGACTATTAGGTACTCTAATTAGTAGGACCAAAGGCAAATTATTCGTACCACAGAAAAAAAGATAGGACCCTAGTTGATGAGGAAAGAGTAAGGGTAGAATGAAGATCTAAACAGACATGGGTTGAGGCCATCAGAAAGTATATGACTATTAATAGAGAAGATGGCCTTTAGGAAATCAGAATGAAGAAAATAGATTCATTAAGCCAACCTTATAAAAATGAGAAAGGCTTACTGTTTCTGCCATTGTTTTCTCAAAAGCTTTCAAGTTCACCATGAACATGAAGCAATCGGCCAACCACTTCTTTCAAAGGTAATTAACTGAAAAAACAATGTTCTCGGAGACTAATTGCATAAGCTAATAATACATTGTGCATGTATCATGTGTTTCAGAAATTTGTTTGCTGGCCATAACAGGCAGACACCTTTGGACACTGGTTCTAAGTTGATGTAATTCCTTCCATTCTATAATCACCAACTTCATCATCATTAAAAAGAAAGAAATGCTATTTATTGAGGAACCTGAAAGCAATCGCAGCTCATTATTACAGACCAACTTGATCAAAAAAGTTGCCAGATTCAAAAGGAATGTGAGCCGAGAACAATTATCTGCAAGAAACACATTACCTTCAACTCACGGATCAACTTTCCTTCGGAAGTCCATATTTTGATTGTGCAGTCCTGTGAGCTGCATTACCTTCAACTCACGGATCAACTTTCCTTCGGAAGTCCATATTTTGATTGTGCAGTCCTGTGAGCTGCATGCAGCAAGAATAAGTCACAATTATTCCTTCGGAAGTCCATATTTTGATTGTGCAGTCCTGTGAGCTGCATGCAGCAAGAATAAGTCACAATTACAAACCAGGAGCAATCTTAGAAACCGCTCTATTTCTCCTTGAGCAAAGCATGGCAGAAGATTACACATTTATTTAATGGGTTTTTTAGATATTAGTCCCTTAAATCTTCGATTATTGCATAATAGTCCCTAAAAACTTAAAAATTGCATATTAGCTCATTAAATCTTTAATAATTGCATATTAGTCCCTCAAATCCTATAAGGTCCTGCAAAATGGTCCCTCTATTAGTATTTCAGTTAAAAAACCTAATCATGGTTAGGTTAACTCCCAATCCAAATCTACAATTACCAAACTACTCTGTCTGATGTTTCAACCTCTTGTGAAGCTCAACTTTGAGTTAAGTTTTTTTGCTAACCATTCGAGAAGAAGAACACAACTGAGTTTAGCTTTATTTTAAGCGGGAATTGGGTTTCAAGATATCAAGAAATGGGTGGGGAACATATTAGAGGGGTAAAATGGTCATCTTGCCTACAACCGTTAGATGTGACGGAATATTCCCCCTAAATCTTTCTTGATTTAACTTGAAGGACCATTTTGCAAGACCCCATAGGATTTGAGGGACTAATATGCAATTATGAAGATTCAAGGGACTCATATGCAATTATTGAAGATTTAAGGGACTAATATCTAAAAAGAACCCTTATCTAATACCAAAAAGATAAAAGATAAGGTGCCATAATGGTAAGTCAATGGTTGATATAAGCTACTACAAACTGATTACACATAATTTTTGTAAGCATCATTAGCAATAGACATGTCTAGAAAGTGTTACTTTTAAGGAGAATGTGACTAAATGCTTACAAATATTTCCCCAGCTTATAGAATAAACTATCTGTAAAGAAGCATGCTAATTGCTAAAGGACACTGGACTATAGGCTGGCATGCAACACAGCAGCAGAAAGTACTGTGTAAGTGTAACTCAGCTCGAAGTAACACTAACAAGAAAATTGAAGCATTGAAAAAAGTTAAAAGTACAATGGCGTATCCACTATACCAGTTTAACATGTTCCTTTGCAAATACTAATAGTTTTCAAAGTAGCAACAGTTTATTTAACCATATGAACGGATCTGGATCTTACCCAGTGTATATCATTCCATCACCACCCCACTTCACACAGGTGACGGTCTTGGTGTGACCACTAAGGCAATGAAGACACCTTCTCAATGTAATGTCCCAGATACGGGCATCTCCATCCTTACTGGAACTAACAAAACGACGACATGGAGCTGTCAAATGTACGGGCTCCCAAGAAATACCAGTAATCCACTTCTTGTGGCCCTGAAACATCAGAGGAAGTACATTAGAAAGCTAAACTTGCTTACTTCTTTTTATTTAAAAATTCATGACATGCATGGTATTACTGACCACTGTCAGCTAAAGGACAAGGATGCTGAACTACATACATCAACTAAACAAAAATCACCATTTGAGGGGAAAAGTTCAATCAGGATACTTCCTGAGCTTGCCACAAAAAATTAATCCATCACATCCAAAAGAATAATTTCTTTAAAAACATTCTTTTTAAATAATATTCTTTGAAAAAATATCTTAGCATGAGTTTTTCTTCACTTCTAAAAGACATGTTCTCAACTGTAGAACAAGCAAGATTAGCATAAGGTAGTATATCTAGAAAATGGATAGAACTTCTCTTTTCTAAATTGATTTAAAGGGAAAAGGCTGTACTTAGACTAAACATTCAGAACAAACAAATACCAGTAGTCATGAATTCAGACAATTTACATATGCAGGAAATGCTAAGGAGATGGTGACAAATAATACATATACGTCACAGTTGTATTATCATCCACTATTATACTACTCAAATACTGAGGTTACAGTCAGAGCTAGGGCACTTTAAGTATGAACCTACTAAAAACCATTGATATTTCTACAAAAGTCATATTTGCGCAAATGTCCTTTTTCACATCCCAGCAGTATCTTATTTGTAACAAACATCACCACCTATTATCACAGAAGGAAGAAAAAAATTACTACTTTCATAGATCCAAAGTGTCTCCTACATGTCTTAAATATAAGAGAGAGATAGCTCGTTAGATGAGTGTAGATAATTGAATCGTATCATGAGAGATGATCGACGAGTGTTACTAAAGGAAGACAATTTCATGAAAGGATAAAGAACTCACTTCCATAGGCTTATTTAATAAGAATTACTCAATAAAGGGTGCAGTAGAGCCAAAGTTTTCTAGGAAATATATGCATTGTCAAAAATTAAATTTATGCCCCAAACTTATTGATGTATTGGAAAATGAAATGAGTGTTGTAAGACATTACAATATTTTTTTTTTCTCACTATTTTGATGCTGGGAAGTGATAGGGAGAAGAGAGACTAACTAATAACATAATATGGCTATTGACTTATAGAGCAAACTTATAGGAACTATGAAATTAAATAATGATTGGAGAATCTAGGAGCTTACTTACAAGTACAGGAGACACCCAAAGTTGTAGAAACTATCTAGGATCAAGATAACAAGTAAATGAAGCCATAGATTGAAACTTGGAAGGGAGTAATTGTCAATAATTGACCAGAGAATAAGGGGAAAAGAACTATCGTGATGTACATTCAATTGGCTTTTATCCAAGAAGGTTGACAATGAGCATGCAAAGGTTATTGACAGTGGATAGGGTGAGGCACCGCTAAGGCTATTTGGGGCTATAGTGGCAAAATAGCAGCAGAAAGTGCGAAGTCAAATGGCAGTCCAATTTAAATATGTACAAGTATTCAAAAATCTACAAATGCATATTTTATGATTTATAAAGATCCTGAGGAGGAGGAAGAGGACTCAGTCAGTTTTGATTGGCAAAGATAGCAGGTGAGGCAGTCAGAGAGGGAGTTTTGGGGTTGAGCTTGAGTAGTTGGAGAGGGAGAGGTAGGGGTTGAGGTGGAGGGCTGTTGAAGAGGGGTTTTGGGGTTTGAGGTGTTGCAGTTGGAGAGTGAGATGTAGAGGTTGAGGTGAAGTAGTCGGAGAAGGAGAGGAGGGTCGCTGACGAAGAAGTTGGTGGAGGGAGAGGAGAAGAGGCGGCGGAGTTAGTAGGAATCGTGGGATTAGGGTTTTTTTTCTTTTATCTTTTGAGATCAAATCGGAGAGGAAAGCGATAAAACGAAGTTGAGGGGGTTTTAATTGATTATGGGTCGGGTTTGAGTCGGATAGTAAACTAAGAGTCCATAACGAAAAGCTACAAAGTACTATTACGCGCTTAAGCAAATAGCACAGAGAGCGCAAATTTCCACCGCTTTCGTCGATATTGTTAAGGGTAGTGGGTGCGAACGCAATTTGCAGCGTTATAGCAACGCTATTAGGTGCTACTTTCAACAGTGTGAGTATAGCAGATATTTACTTATAATGGCGGTTGATAGGTCTAGGGGAGTAAGCTTTATTTACAAATGGTTTTTACTGATTTGGAAAAAGCTTAAGTTAGGTCATTGAGAAGATTATATGTCTCGTTCTAAAAAGAAATAGGTGTCTAATAATTATATCTATGTGATTGAGGATAATGATCGAGGATAAACAAAAAGAAATAGCAACTGGCATATAAGAAATTAGATGGGAGTCTCCACCATAAGCTTACACATACGATGAACATTCATTTACCTCTTTTCCTTAATTGTGGATGAGTCAACTAAGTGCATAATGAAGTCCAGAAGTGCATACTATTTACTGATGATAGTTTACTAGTTGACAAGCGCATAAACAACAACAATAATAAAGCCTTTTATTCCAATATTTTGCTTTCGGTAACACCATTTTTTCCATCCAGTTATGTTAAGATTATTTCCTTCGTTAAGTTATTCACTATCATATCCTTCTCGCTTCCAAACAAGTGTGCTCAACACTGCACTATAATCTTATTAGTTCTCCTGCTTGATGCATTTAGCGGGCCTTTGTTGCTCATTGCCAAATTATCTCAAGTGATTTTCTCATTTTACTTCCAATAGAAGCAAGCTCACATTGCTTATACTATGTACATCCATATATCCATAATAATATTTTCATTTCCTCTATACTCATTTTTTGCACATGTTACTTACCTACCACCATTCTGATCCATAAAGGATCTTCAGGTTTATAGTTGTCTCGTAGAAATTTCCATCTAATTTCTTAGAAACTATTATTTACCATAGAATATTTGTGTGCATATCCCATGTTAGGACTATTCAATTGAGTGACATTCTCCACTTGAGCTAGAAAATTGTTTTTCAACATCTTGTGCATATCCATTGTCCACTCAAAACTTTGTCTTTATATCATCTCATTAGATCTCATTAGACCAAAGACACAGTTCCCGACCAATATTCTAAAATTATTTTAGGTTATATGTGCATCCACTTGATCTAATTATGAACTTACATGCTCACTTCTTTAATGCACACAAGTAAAGGACTCCTCAAGAGTTCATCCAAAAACCGTTTCCAATCCATTAACTAAAAAGTCATTCAACATATCCTCAAATGTTAGTTAAGATTAATTCTCATGTTCTTGGGAACTATTGTAAACCATGTGTTCTTCTTGTGCATATGCCATGTTGGGACTATTCAGTTTGAGTGCGATGCTTCCCATTTGAGGTAGAAAATTGTTTGATTACATCTTTGAAAGAATCTCCTGTTTTCAGCCTTTTATAAATTGTACATAACAATTTGTCATTGTTTAACGTGACTGCTAGAATAATTGTAAAAGAGGATGAATAATATAAAAGAATATAACTGACAAGAACTAAGAATAACTATAAGCAACTAGCACATGAGGACATTTTTGCCCTTGGACTTGTGTAAGTGCTTATGCATGTGCATATTGTGAATGATCATGTGATCAAATTCTGAAAAACCTGAAGCCTAGATCAGACATTATATTTGATGTTCTAGGACTATTAAGACCTTTGATTCAGCAAACCAATTTTACATAAACGCACAAATTAATTGGATTTGTATTGTTGTTGTATAGTTTTAATGAAAAAAATGTACTCCTATTGAAGAATGACCACGATATGTAAGAATAGAATATAACACTAAAAAAATATCAAGAAGTTTTTATATTCCACAAGGATGAAGAAAAACTAACATAGATCTGCATCAAAATACCTCTCAAGTAAGATAAAAAAGTCTATACTAGTCCCCATTAATCAAGAGGACATCTCAACTCATCTTTACTTTGTTTACATCAAGTACAACACCATATCAGATGAAGTTTGTTGAACGTAAACTATCAAGAGTTGAGAAAATGTTGTATCTTCTTATTGACATTGAAGGGGGTAATATACTGTATATACACAAATATTATAGGTTATAGATAGAAAATCGTGCAAAAAGAAAACTCCCATAACAAGGAGAACTATAATAAAGGAAACTACCATGAAAGAGAAATATTATATTTTTCATTCCCCAAACTCATGGTGGATCAATGACTGACACAAATTATAGACAAAAAAGTATTAATATCAAAGAAAAACTTGGTGACGACCCCATTAAATGGTGAACGGTAAGAATCCTAGGACATAGCAAAGAAAACTCGCTGAACAAGTGATGGTAACGGGTAGGATTCTAAGCACATTGATCAAGAAAAACTCAATGATCTATATAGAGACTTGGAGAGAGGAAGACCTCAAGGAGAAAATATTAATCCGGTTTCCTATCCTTCATTATAACTCTCGTCGCTATTGAATTTTTATGTCGATGTCCTTGGATTACAATCATTTGTCATTTAATCTCATCGCCACTGAGATTTTCTCTCTCAATATTAATCCTTTGTTGTTTACCTTCTCGCTTTCGGTAATTTATCTGCCTATTCGCTGACTTTATGACTCTTTCATCAGGACTCGGATAATTTTTTATAATTTTTATCCAGACTCTCAATTGTTATCCACAATGAGTTTGAGGCGGAAGTTAACTATAGTATTCTAGTGGTTTTCCTTCATATTTTTCCTTTCTTGCGAATATTGAAACTCGGTAGACCTTTTAGCAGAAGATTGAATGTATAAAGATCAAGTTTGGGTGGAAACATTAATGAGATAGGTACATAGGTGACTTCAAAGGCCCAGATATTTCAGAAGGCACTTATGGCCTACATTGTTTTCAATGATGAGATTGTATTTGACAAACGTTGTAATGGGATTGTTAAGTGCTGAAATTGATATGATACATTAGTTAACTAAATTTGTGTGAAGTTATTTTGTAAAAATATTCATTAAACAAGATATAAAGCAAGGTTGTTGATAGCGGATCGCGTCGCGTCGCGGCGAGCTACCGCTAAGGCTATTGCGCGCTATTGCGGTGAAATAGCGGCAAATAGCGCACAGTCAAATAGCGGTCAAATATATATATTTAAATATGCTAAATAATCTTTATGACTAACTATTTTGATTGTTAGTTTAATTTTTAGTCGATAAGGAAATGTATACTGAATAAAATAAAGCCAAAAAAGAAACGCAGAACCATACTACTCATGAAAAGTAAGCAATAAACTGCTTGAATAAAGATATCAAGTGTTCAACAAACATTTTATTGTACAACTCGAACAAATAGAGATTTATTTGCAAAGAATCAAGCACTAGCTTCATCAATATAATCTTATAAATCTCATAAATATTCTTTCAGTTTATTACTTTTTCTCTCTGTTGCAGACAAAGCCATTCAAAAATGAAGATGTGGGGGATTGATATGGAAAAAAGCCATTCAAAATGGGCCGAGGGCCTGGCTCCACGCCTCTCGAAGGCACAGTCTCCAAAGCAAACCCGTGCGCCACCAAAAATATCTCGTCATTAGGGTTTCTCAGCCCCCATCGATCGATTTTGCTTTCACGAGCCTCAGATCGCCCTCCGATGATCTGACCTCATCGCAAATTGCGCGGCCATGGCGGGAGTCGGCGTTGATGGGAGAGAGAGATGGGTTGACAGGAGAGAGATGGTGACCGGAGGGGCTGCTGGTGGCGGATTCGCGTCGATCGGTAGCGCGTTGACAAACTTTGGTTTTGTGTTTTTAGTTGACGGCGAAGTCGTCGTATAAGTGTTGGGGGGGGGGGGGCGGTTCGGGAGGGGGGAGGCGGGAGAGAGGCGGCTAGGGCATAGATGGGTTTGGGAATCAGAAGTGAGAGGGCTTAAGTAAAATGGATACGGGTCGGGTTCGGGTTCGGGGAGAGGGTTTAAGTGTAGCGGATAGCGTTATTAAGCGCTTTTTAGCGCTATTAAGCGCTTTTCAGCGCTAAACCGCCGTTTATCCGCGCTTTTCGAGTGTTTAGCGGTTTTCTCCGCCTTATCTCCCCGCAATCACCATAAGCGTGGCGGTAAAGCTCCGCGACCGCGATCCGCGGCGCTATAGCGCCGCGATCCGCCGCTTTTTACAACACTGATATAAAGTCAAAAAAGCTGAAGACCTACATACCTTAAGCACATGACCTAGAATTGAACCAATGGTCGGGTGAGAGTTCCATAAATTTGATGATTATCAAATAAGGAAAAGCTAGGTTTCTTGATGGGCACTTTGGGGACATATAATTATAGCTATGTATATCTACGAGAGTATCCTATATGATCAATAGTTATGTACATTGTATTGTGCGATAGTTCGTGCTCAAACATAACCTATGACCTGGTTTGTTGCTCATATAATAGATTTATCCTGGTTTACAACTACACCAGATGTAGAACTTCAAGAATGCATGGGGGTAAGACCACATTTCTTGTAATATCTTCTACGCAAGCATCAAATAAGCAACATGTCTCCAAGACCTACTAGATCAGCAGAATCAGGATGTTCAAGCTCATGCTAGCTTATACATAGTTGGAATACGATAAAAGACATAAAATTTGGTAGATCGCATAATTTAATGACAGAATGTAGAAATTAAATATAATATATGAGATTACCTGATTATTTTGACTCAACATCAATAAAGAAGTAATGACTTCGCCTATCAATGCATAATGATTATTTAAGAAAGAAGACGAATCTCACTATCGGATGTTGAAATACTATAGTTTTTTATATGAAGAAAATCTTATGCTTGGCTAAAATGTTAGCAAAGGAAGAAAATACACAAATATTAGAATGTACTTTATTTACTGTAATCTGGCAAAGATAATACCTTAAATTGGTAATGATAAATTGTAAATACATAATGCTAGAAGACTAGATGATAAGATGTCATAGTATTAAAGCACTAGGAATAATGTTCGTAATAAAGAAGATGCTCAGTAAATGCTAGTATAAAATGGTTGTTCCGTGAACTTTACCATAAGAGGCTTGCCAGATTGCTTCCCAGTTTGTGGGTCCCATGTTAAAAGTTCTCCAGATTTGCTACCACTTGCTAGATGTTTGCCATCTGGAGACCATGCAATATAGAGAACCCAATTTTTATGTCCTAAATAAAACACAAGAAGGTAAATTCAGTACCACTTCCAAGATAATCTCACAATTAAATGCTTGTGGACTCCATAACTATAGAATTTAGACAATTCAGAAATTGTTATCCATTTAAGAAGCTTTTTATTTCTCCAAAGAATGAAAAAAAATTAATGTGTATGCACCCATATACATGTGCACCCTGCCCATGGACTCAACATGCAATTAAACAAAAATGAACAGCAACTGTCCAGGAGTAAAAAATTTAAGATCGAAGATGGAGTTGACATTCACGTTTCGTAGATGTTATGCATAAGAACAAATATTTTGTTTTCTCATTGCCTTATGTTAAGTGATAAGCATTCTGTTAGCCAAACTTTTAGGCTCCCAGCATAATTAAGAACCACCAAAAATTTCATTTGTAGGGATTCATTGGGGATGAAGAATATGGAAGAGAGAGAGAGGGAGAGGTTTGAGTGTCAACTTAACAAGTTACAAATTAACAATCATAGCCATCTGCAATTAGATACCTCGTCCAGAAAGTAACTTACCGTCCGATCACTCAACAACCAACCTTCTCTCCTTTTGATCTTCCAAGTCATAACTTAACTTGAATGTCCCTAAGCTGTCAAGATCCACTTCACGTCTCTTCACTAGTAGGGCATGTGTCTGATGCTGATATCATTTGCTCCTGAAACTCATAGCACTTCAGAGATGAAGATGTGGGAAATTATGTCATCTCTGACCTCATTAGCATTCGATATCTCCTCCTCAAGGTCAGACCTTTGTGCTTGTTTCAAAATACAATGTGCAGCATAAAAAAGATGCACGCTAGCCACTTGACTGTACATGATAATATCAACCTCACTTCACCAACAGTTTCTAAATTTGTAGAGCGCTGACAATGAGAATCCCCTGCATGCTCAAACAAGGGAACCACATGAACATTACCATCCCTTAGACCCCTACAATAATGGCCGGCCTCAAGCACAGTGACACACTGACATCCAGTACTTGATTCCAGGTACACTGGGTGGCCTCCATAACCAACAGCCCACTCTCTTCCGTATTATGACTTATGAGAACTTCTAGAAAAGCGTCTAATATACAGCACAGGCCGAGAATTAGAAATGAACTTACTAGGTAGTGAGCTCATCGCTAATAGGTGCAACTGCTATAGAAATCCCCTTTATAGTGGATGTTGGCTTGTTGTCAAATAAATCAATTAATTTCTCTCTTTCCTAAACCTAAAAATAAGGACAATTTGCTGACGTAATTTTTAAATGGAATCCTAAAGATATGACACCATCAAATTGAGGGACCACCATAAATCCGAGTCCATAACAACTCGAATAGCTAACAAGAATTGACACCTATTGTGAGCCTTCTCTCACAACAGGAATAGCCGACATAGCCCCCACACCATAGATGATAACTTCATCTGTGTGATCATCAGATGAATAATCTACCAAGTGATGAGATTATAGAGGTGGCTCTCAGGACAACCCTGTATGGAATGACACTTTGCACCATGTAGTACTAAGCTCCATGTGCTTTGTTCCACTCACTTGCAGCTGGTGTTGGCTCATATACAATCATGACATACACCAGGACTTTCAGAATATTTTTTTCTATGGTTCCTCAAAAAAAAAAACTAGCTAATTATTGACTTCATTGGAGTTAGTGAGTTACTACATACCAAACCTAACTATTCCACCATACTTGCATGTGACAATAAGGGACATGTATCGATGGCTTATTTTATGTGTCTTGAGATTAGTTTCTTTGGTTGCTTTGATTGGAACTTTCCGAAGCAAACCAACTGAATACTGATATGAAGTAAAAATTGAGAGCCTAACAAACCAGACATAGCTGTAGCAATGAAACTGAAAATGTAACTAGGCTGATTATGTTGTGTTTGACTTTCATCAGAACCAAACAGTGTACTCATAGATTATATTTACTGTTTAAATTTGCATTCTTCTATCCGATGAAGCATAGCCTTAATAAGAACTAACCAACAAAATGAGGGAAAGTAGTTAACCACCATTAAATATGTCATGAGAACAGACAATTTAACAGGACATTCTGAATTAAACAGGAGATAATAAAACCAAGAAACAAGCTTGCCTGTGCATGAGAACAAAGGTGTCTGTGTAGTGAGATCCCATAATCGAACTGTGGTATCTCCAGAGCCACTGGCCAAGTGCTTACCATCAGGGCTGAAGGAAACAGAAAGTACAGCTTCTGTATGACCTGCAAAAATCGGTAAGACATAAGATAAGATGGCACCACAATAAAACAATGTCAAAGATAAACTTGAAAAGTACGACTTACCGTCCTAATAGCATGGAGAACTTCAAAGAAAAATAAACATAGAGAACCATATTGACCGTCTATTTGCACATGACATTAAGTAAAAAACAAATAAGAGAAAATACCACTCAAAACAGGCTCTAATGTAAAAGTACCAGCCACAGGAAGAATTCGACAGTTATCGTACATGAGCTAACAGAATGCACAACCAGTTATCGATAAATCATTTTAACCTTTCCATGATTATTTGGATTGCACATAATATCCCTTGTTGCTGCAAGGAACAATAAGGCTAATATCAGATGCAATAAATAGATAAAACCCAAATCCTCTGATGAAGTAATCTAATTTATAGCTGTGTTTGCTAAATGTTAGATTAAGTGAACACAACAAGAGCCATGTTGATTTTTGCAGTACGGCATTAAATAAGATGCTTTACATGAAAGGTGCTACTCCAGCCTTCCAGTGAATATTTATTAATTACTTATACATGATTTCACATAATGACGTGAAAAAGATATGCTGGAGATGTTGATGCACCTAGACATTGAATCCAACGTTCTGACATGTGCAGGAAAACAGTCTCTAGAGGACCCCAAATTTGAACATGAATTTCATCTCCAAATTTGACCAACAATTTCATTTCCCAAGTACCAATTGCACGGATCATAAAGAACATTAGTAACTATAACTGCAAACTCTCAACCAAGAGCTTCAACTCAATGAAAGCGCTAGCAGATTCTATCTCCAACTCTAGTTGAACAAGTTGAGGTCAAATATTTATGCATGTGACACTACACTAGTAGCAACATGCAGAGAAAACAGAGTGAGTAGATTGAAAGTACAAACAATTAAGGTAAACAACCTGCAATAGTTGCAGAGCATCGATTGACAGGACGAATTCTGAAAATTGCTTGAGGTTGGTACACAATACGAAGTACCTTCTCCACCGATACTGCATGATAAATCAAAATAAAATGCAAGAATCAAACATTTAACAAAAAAACATCAAATAGATTGTCAATATGGAAATGCTATCATACAGGAACACTTGATAAACTTCCCAATCACCTTTGTTCTTCTGAAGGTAATCGCCAAGCTGAACAACAAGCTCCTGATCTGATATGTAAAATGCATAAGGCAATCTTTCCTCCTATATTAAAGAATGAACAGATGAATAAATAAACGATATTGCGTTCAAACAAGATAGGGAAATCTTATTATAACTAATGTAACAAAGAATTCAGAAGGAAATGTAAAGCATGATCGCTAACACGCCGCCATAAAGACTATACTTTGAAGATTACATGAGCAACTAAAACCACCTGCGATCTCCATCTGTATTACAATTACAACACATTATATTACATTATTATACTGAAGTGGTTGCCACTGGTTGTAGGAAAACGATGTGCGTCAGTCATTCCTAACCTATGTTGTTCGGAAGGGGTCACAAGTTTTCTAGCTTTCACTGTCCGTATTTTATTATCTTGAAACCAATTTTCTTGGTTTTCAATGAGAAAGTGATCTCGGTGGCTGTTCATTTTGAATATGTATTCATCAAATCATAATATACCACGGCGTGAGTGATTCAACACCACTCTGATGCCAACTTTCGTGCATCGCCACGGGTAACAAATCGAACTGTTGACGGCCACCGCAACATATTCAAGAACAGAAAACTATTCTATGTGCTATATAATCAGAATTTTTAACCTAGAAAAAGATTAATCTTTTTCGAAAATTACATTGCAGAGAAGCTGGTTCACAAGCTGTTGAAGCTGAGGCGGGCCTGCTGTTTGAGGGAGGTATAACGGAGCTCCGAGAGGCTGCCCCTCTGGATCCGTTAACTGACACATAACGTTGTTGCTGCTGGTTTTAGGGTCGAGCTCCATCATCTCTTTGCTTTGTTCGATCACCTCCATTGGCTTTTGTGGATAAAATTTGGGCTAGGGTTTGTGTATTTGAATTAGGGATTTGGAGGATTTTGATGGGGATTTCGGTGCGAATGGGCGCGGGTGGGGGCAGAGAAAAATAAAACCCTAATTCCAAGGGTTTTTGGTCAGGTCGTTACAGGGAGAGACGGTGAAATAGTGAATCTAGTACCGTCAGTCATCAAGCCACGAGCCGCAAGAGGGGGTGCATTCAGTCCTGTAACATCGTAATACTTATCATATTAATATCCGCTAACCCATTTCGAAAATAAGGATACAAATACATATCTTGGTAAGAAAAAATTATATTCATTTCTGATAAAATCAGATATATTTACAAATGTATATGCGGATTTGTATGTGGGTACAAAACGGATATGAGAAAACTAGATAGTATTGAGAAAAACATGGTTTATGTGATACAAAAGAGTTCGTTAATACGTTCATTATAACTAAAAAGCTAAGATGAGATATTTTGATCATCAAAATTAAACATAAATCCATAATTTAAGAATTAAAACTATCGTAAGAGTATGACTAATATGCATTCGGATATTTCGGATATGGATCATGATATTTCACTACAAAACCATATTTGTAACCATATCCTATCGATTATAGACTTGAGTAAACATATCTGTATCCTAACGGATACGGTTATGGATATTTCCTCGGGTATGGATACAGTTCTGCACCCTAGCCGCAAAGTATTAATATTTTCAAATTGGTCCCTCAAATCATTCATATTGCTGTTAGATCAACCAATTGTCAATAAGTGTGACGTCTCTGGGTTCACACAATGCTGCAGTCCAAGGTGAAACCAGAAATGTCAAACCTGCCATGCACCACACCGTGCAATAACATGTTTCACCATCACAATTAATATCTCTCTAGTAGAGTCAACAACAGGTGTAGGTACAAAAGCAAGTAAAAGATAATACAAGACTAGTAGAGTCAACAACAGGTGTAGGTACAAAAGCAAGTAAAAGATAATACAAGAGATATATGATGAAATCATAGAGATAAAAATGATATTTCATCATCCAACATACAAAAATATAAAGGGAATCTCTGAAATAACTAGTCTGGAGATCTCAACAAGTCTCAAATATAGAATATCTGATAAAAGAAAATAAGACACACAGCCATTACAACTTTTAGAACATAACTCTCAAATGTCTAAATAAAATGTCTACAGTGGAGCTCCATAAATAAAATAAAACTACAAATGAAAGATGGATGCTAATAAGTATCGCCATCAAACTGTGACTCTCCGTACACCTGGCTCGTTACCTGAAATGGGATGGGACAACGAGCGTCAAAGCGCTAGCGAGCAACATCACAACCAACTCCAAGGGAGAGGGCTCGTTGCATATAGAAAATACAGTTAATACATATATACATAAAATCAATGATCCTAACAATAAGAAGATTTTAGTATTTAGGAAATTACAACACGAGCATAGGTACGTCGAGCGAAATAATCCAAACAAGGAAACCCTCATGTATATACCGTGTATCTCAAATTGTAAATCCCTAAATACCAAACCCAAGATCTAATACAGGAACAATAATATAAAGAAGACTAACCCATCTCAGAACTCAAATACCATGTCATGTCAAAACCCACATAAGTGTCATGTCCAACCTATGTAAGTGTAAGTGTCATACTCAAGGTTTAAACAGGTGTCCAATACATGGACTAAGACTAGGTGTAGTGGATGCCCAACACATGGGCTGCATATATAAATTGTCCAACACATGGACTGAATGATGAATGTCAACACATGGACTGAATATAATGAATGTCCAACACATGAATTAAATATGATGAATGTCCAACACATGGACTGCACATAATAATTGTCCGAACACATGGACTAAATGAAATGTGTAGAATATCGATGAGATATATGAAAAGGATGCATATACACTAATTTCACATGTGTCTCGGTGTGCAAATCTAAACTCATGTCCACAAGCCATCTCACATATGAAGATACATAATAAATAATAATTTCTAACGCCAAATATTCGAGGCAACTCCTCGTTCACATTAAAACACACAACAAAAATAAACATGCACAAACTGTGCCGGCTATCAACCGAAACAGACAGAAACCCTTCACATGTTTCTGTCTGCTTCGAAACAAATCTAGAAGTGACATCATTATTTTCCAAGCATAATATTACTGATATCAACATATATGAGACAACATGAAATGAAATATTAGCATGTAAATATATCGTCGAAACCCTAAACATTTATATACACATGTTTAAACGTTTTAAAAGCAAAAACTTGTGATTTAATTCATGATTAATAAATTTCAGATCTAAAATTTGTCAAGGTTACTGTTGTAATCAATTAGAAAATTATGATAATGTATTCTCACTTCATAAGTTATAAAGATCTATATTTTATACACTAAAAATACGTTTTAGGCTCGAAAAAACTGAATAAAACTTAATAAAACATGCAAAATAAAAGGGTGCAGAGTTGGGTAAGATGTTACTTGCCTCAGATGCTGAAAAACTCCTATCACGTGAAAGAGAACCAATCCCCTTCGCTGCACTGCACAAAACCCACTGAAAAATCCTCTGAAATCCCTCAAAATCGCCAAAGAAAAGAACTAGGGTTTTGAGAGAGGGGAAAAGGGGCTGCTAGGGTTTGGAACACAGGATAAAAGATGTGTTTTTCATGTTTAAACATGTGTATATTGTTAGACCCTAGAGGGGGGGTGATTAGGGTCTTATGCTAATCTAATCCCGATTAAATGCTAATTAAAATTATGTTGATTGATTTGTTCTTGCAAGAATGATATAAGATAGATATGAGCAAGAGAGATATGAATAAGCACAAATAAAAAGAACGCTAAGCAAAACACAAACAAACGGTATGTTTACGAGGTTCGGTCACCACGACCTACGTCCCCGCTCCTCACCTCGAGGAGATCTCCACTATCACTACGTCCCCGCTCCTCACCTCGAGGAGATCTCCACTATCACAATCCGGTTTGGAAGCCGAAACTTCTATACACTCGGTTTACAAGATCACCGAAAACTCTCACACTACACAATCACTAATCAATCACACTTTACACACTAAGTGTAGGAACCTAGCCCGTGTCATCCTCCTCAAGTGCTTGGATGCAACCTCTCACTAGGTTCGTCAACCGACGCCACTCCTATTGGATTCGACCCCGTCTCTCGCCTCACACTTCTCTCGGTGTACAAATGTATTACAAGTGATACTCACAAATAAAGATTAAATACAATGGTTTGTTCTCAACAACAAATGAGAACGCAAATGAAGCTCACACTCACTAAATCACACTCCACAACCCACACTATATAGTATGAAGATATTAAACTCAATACGTGTGTGTGATAACAGTGAATGAAAATAATACAACTCAATAAATATAGCTAAATAAATAAAATTAAGTAGAAAGCTATATGTAAAGATGAGTTAGAGAAAACTTCTCCATAGACAAGAAGAACAGTGGATGATGAGATTAAAAATCCTCTTCTTGTAGTAGGAAAACTTCTTTTGAAAACAGACTGATGAAATCAACTTAAACAGCTCTTTTAAACACACTTAAGATTTTGTTAAACACAAAACTTAGACCGTGGCGGTCGACCGCAAACTGACACAGTCTGAAAACCTGTTTTTGGGCTGATTTTGAAAATACTTTAAAAATAGCAAATCAATTCCAAAAATAATAAAACTTTGGGAAAAGTTTCTAAATGATAAAATGAACATGTTAGAAAAGGATTTTTTAGAAAAATAATTTTTGTTTGTAAAAACACACTGTTTTTGAAAAGTGTTCGTAAAACCTGTATTTTACAAATATGAAAATTTTGATATGACTTATAAACATGCAAATATAAATCATGCATATATTATATGTATATAATAAAGTATGAAGGAGCTGTAAACATGAGATAAAAGATATTGTAACAACGTTTGATGAAAAATCATTTATATGATAGAAACGTCAAAAATCGTGTTAAGTGTACATATATTGAGCTTAAATATAAACATACAATATATGTAAGTAAACTACTCTTATACCTAGGTAACTCCACACATATGAACTTGAATCTTTAACGCTTGATTGTCGTGTGTTGAAATACCTGTAAAGAGAAACATAAAAACAAAACTAGAGAATATATTAGCGATAAATTGTTTGACAAATCATCATCAAAACTATAGGGTCAACAATCTCCCCCTTTTTGATAATGGCAAACAATTTATATATTGATATGAAATATATGCTGATAAACCACATACAATATGAATTAAACAGATAAACCACATACAATATGAATTAAACATATAAACCACATTAGATTTTCTCCCCCTTTGACAACATCAAAAAGGGAAAAAAAGGATAAATATATATTGAATAGGAGCAATGCTCCCCCTGCATACAAGCACAGATAAAAAACAAAAGTACAGCTAAAGCTCCCCCTGTTAATTTGCATAGATGATATACAAAGATCATACTTATACGTAGGAGCTAAGCAACCATATCCATCCAAAAACAACCATAAACAATATATAGACCAAATAAAACACAAATCATCACTTAAACACCAAATACTACATAGTGTTCCACAAACATAATTTGTTTCACAATACTACAAACCATACACAAATTGTTTCACAAAGTCACATAGTTTTCCACACAAACATAGAGTTATTACAACTCAAAATAAAACATAAGTATCAACTTCTAGTCCAAATACAACTCAAAAAAAAACATCACCATAAGCATGGAATCCAATAAACTCAACAAAGTCAATCACCACCATCACCACCAAAAGCAGAGCCAGAGCCAGATGCAGATCCATCATCAGAGCCAGAATCAGATCCATCAGCAGGGCCCTCCTCAGAACCAGACTCAGAACTGGAAGAGGGATCCGGAATCCTAAGAGACTGACGCTGATAAGATAGAATAATCCTAACGTCCCTCTGAATAGTTGAGACCTGAGTCTCGAGACAATCCAAACGGGCACAGATATCAGAAGTGGAGGAGGTGGAAGCTCTAGACCGAGAAGATGATGGCTTAGTAGGATCAGATAAAGATGCAGAAAGTTGCATACGGGAGAGAGAGACTTTATCAAAGTACTCCTTACCCAGATCAACTTTAAGTT